TATTGTGATTTGCTAAAAGATAATGAAAAAGTATGTAGAGTGTAAGAATTTACAGAGTTTGTAAAGCAGTCCTGAGTTCCAGACTCGATCAAAAGCCTGTTCGTCGTGAAAGAAGCCTGTGAAGTTCATTCATGGAAAATTAATAAGGGAATAGCACAGACTAAAACTATAAAATAGCTGATTCAGAACTTAATTTTTGGAGGGAGCTCGAGTTTTTGTTTTTACAATATAATGATAATTATACTGGAAAAACAAAGAAGAAACTATATAAAATAATGTTTAAGTGAGAAAAACGACTGTTTACAATAATAATTCTTTTAGGGATAATTTTTAGAATATTTTTTCTTGACATGTCCTAACATTTAATGGGGCTTCAGCCAGAAATGGAATTGATAGTTTTCCAATTAACTTCGTATGTAACAATAGAAAGAGTCTACTAGATTGAGAACATAGTGAGAGGAATTTTCAACATCAAAGCAATATATTGTAAAACTATGACTTCTCATCTTACAGTCTCCTTCAATAATATTACATTTATTCCTGTTGAAAAAATTCGCTACCTAGGACCCCACTTGAACAAACGTCTTACTTGGAATTCGCATTCTAGACTGAAACAACAAGAAATTCCTCGGACTGCTCCAACATTTACTAGACAAACGCTCTAAAATTTCAATTAATTACAAAAGACTTATCTAATTAACCATAATAAGACCTATATGTACATACGGAGTTGAGCTTTGGGGCTCTACCAAACCATCGAATTCCTCTCGTATCCAATCCTTACAATCCAAAATCCTTTGTAAAATCCTTAATGCCCCATATTTTGTCACAAATAAAACCATTCATAAAGACCTTAATGTCCCATATGTCGCTGATATATCTATTCTTTCATGACACACTACAGTCCCATCCGAATCCACTTGTTTCCACTCTTGCTTCTTCCTCGATCCCTGATAATCCTCCTAGGCGTCTGAAAAGAAGACGGCCTCGAGATCTTCTTATCAAGAATTATATAGGCAGTGCTTCGACTGGGTAGTATATCGACAAGTCTGTTCATGTCATTATTTATAACTTGTACACAGTTACTAATTATCCTATATATTATTTCTAAAAAGTATTTTTTTGTCGGTACGCCATAACTTCGTCATTTCTTTATCAAATCCAATGATTGACCACTCATTTTGAAGATATTCTTCTCCTTCACATGCGAAAAATGCGAAAAAGAAACTTTATTTGCGAATAACTCAAAAAGTATGCATTTTTTTTTCTTGATTGTACTCATGATAATTAGAAATATTACTAAATTCGGACAATTATTAACAAAGATACAGTCCATTTGTTTTGGTATACTTAATAATGTCTTCCTGTTTAAAGATATTGCATTTAGGAGTAGAATAGTCTACTATTCTATTTTTTCATGGATTTTATATTAACTTTATTATTTCTTAAAGACATCTGGTTGTTCTTGCATTTTATTTTTTTTTAATAATTTAGAATATCCTATTATCGGGGCATTATTTTGTCTTTATTACTTTTATTATCTTTCTAGTCAGCGTTTATATATAGGTCTTAGCAAAATATTTTGGTCTATTATGTTTAATGGTATATTGTAATCAACTAAGAAAAAAATATTAATTCTTTTTTTACATAATACATAGGAACTAGTTATTTCCATATTGTTTTACTATTTCTTAACTAACCAAAATTGTCTGCGAATTTTTCGCACGAACCAACTAGTATTTATTTAATACAGTTGTAAATTTCTATAAAAAAAAAAGAAGGAAAGTAAAGTAACAATAAATTATAATTCATAAGATGCTGATTCAATAGTATACCTGATATAAAAAGAAGATTGATATTATAAATAAGATTTTTATAATTCTTCGGAAAAGTGTATAATGTGTGTATAAAATATAATATTTTATTTTCGTACATTACTTCTAGTCCAATTGAGCTCGCTTACATTAATGAAGGTTAGTGTATTAACATCTATTCCGGAGCTACCACTGATATAATGAAAACATTTAATAAACATCTTTGGTTTACAATAAACTATATATATATATATATATATATATATATATATATATATATATATATATATATATATATATATATATATATATATAATGTTATACATAGATAGATATCACATTGAATGCATGATAAACATGAGGCATCAGCTGATGTTGGTAGATATCCATCTTACCTTTGACCCGGCTCTTGTCCAAGCCTTGAACGCCAGTGCCAGTCAAATCGGAGAGTAGCACTTCGAAAAAATTAAAGTAGTAGTCCGTGGTACAGACCCCTTTTTATCGAATTATTAACATCCGCCTGAAACTTCGTAAATAGCTTTATCTAACCGTAACCTACAACTATTTCATTTTCGCAAATTCTTGGAATTGGAGCGTTTTCAATCTGGATTCTGACAAACTTTGTCTATTTAATTAGGTACTAAAAACTCGTAAATATTTATTTACTTTCTACTTGGTTCGATAATTTGACTACCAAATCGAAAAAAAAAATGGCCTTCAAAAATATTGAGCCGTTTGGCGTACACCCTCAAATTTTCAAAATAACGATGTTATATAGGACGAAAGGTACAATATTTTTGTAGGCCACCTTTTTTATCGATTTTGAGATCAAATCATCTTACGATCCAAGTAGAAAGTAAATGGGTATTAACGAGTTTTTAGTACCTAATCAAATATAATGCTCCCCTCCAGATTGAAAACGCCCCAATTCCAAGAATTTTCGTAAATAAAATAGTTTTAGGTTACGATGAGATGAAACTATATACGAAGTTTCAGGCAAATGTTAATAATTCTATAAAAAGGGATCTCTACCACGGACTATAGGTACTCGGTTTCTCTACGGTTCTATGTTTTTTGGGGATTTTAATTTCGACTTGGAAATTTCTCCCCCCCAAAAAAAAATGTTTGCAGCCTTTTTAGTTTTTGACGCTTCAAAAACGGTACTACCATTCTAAAAAAATAGTAATTGACTTAATTTAATTTTAATTTCATATTTTTTTTGGGGGGGGGGGGAGGAGGATGATTGTTATAAAGGTACGACCAAACATATTCTATCCAGAGTGGGAAAGTTGAGATTTATTTCGTGGATTCTTCATGGTATAAAATTCAGTGGGCACTTTAAAGGGGAAAACGCCCCAACACGCTGTTACTTCAAGGCCTCAGGTAAGTAAATTCCATCTCTAATCTGAAGCGTCAAGAAATGAGTAGCTTAAGTCATTGGGAGGGTGGAGTGAAGGGAGGGGGGGGGGATTGGTATCCTCCGGCTCCGGTGCTGGATATGGTGGTGCAAGTGTTCGCTGCAGCGTTTCCGTCATGTTTTCCCTTTCCAGATAATTTCTCTTTCTGGAATTCAGATTTTGTATTTTTTCTCTCAGAACGAACTTAAAAATCCATTCTACCCAAATATATACAGAATAACATTTAATATTATTTTGATTATTATTTAGTTGTTCTTTTGTTTCTGTTTCTTTTATTTGTTTGTACATCTATATATACATTCCCGAAAGTAGACAGATTCAAATACCTCGGCTCCACAATAATCTCAATAAATGGTCAACTAACTGAGATAAACCAGCGAATAACAAGTGCGAACAGATCTTTCTTCTCTCTTTCAAGGGTACTGAAATCCAGAAAAATCTCCATAAATCTTAAATTAAGGGTGTACAACACCGTGATTAAGCCAGTTCTGCTGTACGGTTGTGAAACCTGGGCTCTAACCTGCACACTAGAAGCGAGAATTGAGAGATTCGAAAGAAAAGTTCTACGTCGGATAACAGGACCTATATGGGACCAGAACCTTGACACATGGAGAAGAAGGAACAATAAAGAACTGCGGAAAGAAACGAGCCAGTAAATATCTCATGACATGGTGGCAAGGAGGTTAAGATGGGCAGGGCATGTAGCTTGTAGCAATCCATCAGGACGCCTTTACACGACAATGAATGTCAGAGTAGTAGACAAGAGGCCACGTGGGAGGCCAAAAACCAGATGGATATATAGGATAAACAAAGATACAGCTGAGCTTCATGCCACAAACTGGAAAACACAAACTCTACAAGGTCTGTAGAGCCAACAGAAAAAAAATAATAATAATTTTGAGATACTACATGGTTAGATGGTAGAGAATGTAGATCTTTTGTGAATTTCCAGAAAGCCTACGGTGGATAGAGAAACACTTTTATTCTGAGGAAATACGGAGTAATCAAAAAAAGTACATTATGAAACAAATATTCGATCGAGTAATGGAACTAAAAAACATAAAAGGTTACCTAGAACAAATAAGAGAAGAAGTGAAGAAAATAGGTATCAAAGAGGAGGACTTCCAAGATAGGGATAAAGTCGGGAAAATAATGAAATAAATAAAGGTTCTTGTAGCGAATAAGAGGAAGCAAGAGAGTGAGAAATGGACAGGGGAGAGAAGAAGGGAGATGGGAGAAAAAATGAAAAGAATATGGGTAGCTATTTTCTTTTCTTTGGGTATCTATCTATGGGTATATATAAAGGAAAAGAACTAGAAGTGATATACGCGTGGTCCATTGTTGTCCTGTACCCCGATAAATAAATAATACTAAAATGTGATCTAATCTCCCTATAACCAATATCCAAGATGGTGGCAGAATGTGATATCATTCAATAAATAGATTGATAATATAATATGTAATTCTCATTTTATGTCTTATTTTTGTTCACTGTTTCCTCGCCTTTAAGGGTTGACAGAATTTTTCCCTGGCTAAGGGAGAACGCAGAGTTAAGAGCCTCCCCTTCTCCACGGACTGGGACGCAAATTCTCAATTATTTTATCATGTAAAATTCTGTTTCTGTGTATTGTTTTCTCAACTCTTTAGGTTTTTCACGGATGTTGTGTAGTTTTGGAGAAGAAGAAGGGACGAGAAGCTGCATAAACTGTTTGGGAAACCCCATATTATGGCATTGATAAAAACCGCGCGCATAGGTCAGGTGGAAAGAATGCCCGACCAAAGAATGCCTAAGAGGATGCTCTATGAGAAGCCGGATGGCAAAAGAAGTATAGGACGCCCTCGGATCGGAAGCCTTGACTATCTGAGAAGGCTAGGTGTTCGGAAGGTTAGGCCAATATGATGACCACAGCCCGATTTTTATGCAGTAAAAAAAGTTAAACAATGACTAATGAACACTAGCGGATCCAGGATTTAATTTTGGGGGGGGGGCTTCAGCCCGAAAGATTTTTTTTTTCATATACATATAACTATAATCAATTTGAAAAAAAAATAAAGAAATTAATTACCTATATGAAATGGTATTTAAGTGGTTCTTGAAGTCCTATTAAATACAATTACACGAACAAGTATACTTTAAGAGATAGTTTTTAATATTTTTTTCTATAAAACATGGTTATATTTTACCGTTTTGGGGGGGAGAGGGGGGAGGCTTCAGCCCGAAAGCCTCCCCCCGTAAATCCGCCTGTGCAAATGAATATGAAATTAGTTAAAATACTATTTCCTAGAAACTCTAGAAGTTTGCTCCTAGAAGACTCATAGCGAAAAGTCAAAGTCAGAATTCGTAAGAAAAAAAATTAAATGAATAAAAAATTCTTCATAAATCAGACATAATTAGTAATAATTAAAAAAACATAATGTAAGATATTTATTAACCATTTAACGACGGTGGAATCGCATATGAGCTTAAATTGTTTATTGTTTAAATAAACTATAAATGCTAACATTATATTTAATTTCTTTATACCACAACCCTTACATTCCATCTAAGGTGATGGTCTATACTATCTATCTTGACAATGTCTTTAAAGTAAATTTGGTATATTCAAGTAAATTTGGTTGGACTTTGCTATGTCTAGGTCAAAAGATAGGCTCCAATGTATCTATTCTTTTGTGTTGATCTAAGACATAAATTAACGTGTTTAATAAACAGCAATAGGCTAATAGGTAGTTGCAAGAGCTGCGAGACTCTTGATGCAAGACCAACGCTGAGTGTGCAAGACCAAGACCAGGTGTGAACACTGCAAGACCAAGACCAAGACTAGCAAAGTCTTGCATTGGTCTTGCATTTGGGCAACACTAAACGCTGGAGAACGGCGCTCCATTGGACCATCCCAGCCACTAAGAAGCCTCCTTAATATCGAAGATGCGGGCTGGGGCGGGGCGATCTATAGCTCGGACTCCTTAACTACAAGAAACTACGTACCTACGTAACGTTACACAATATTTATTTTAAGCCAGTTCGATAATTAATATTCCATAATCAGTATTTCGACAGCCATGCTGCAAAAGTCTGTGAGTGCAAAACATAAAATTATTTATAATACGAAGTAAACCGCTTTTTTTTTTATTTGATGAAGTAAATTTTCCGTTCAATTTTTATTGCATGCTTAAGAAGAAGATAAAATACTCTAAATCGACAGACATACAGGAAAAACCTGTAAGAACAAAAAATAAAAAAATTTCAAAGACGAAAAACTAACGAATAAATTTTTGCAGGCCTAACATAAATATATAATGCTCTATGTAACTTTTCTTAATCGTATTTCTGCCTCACAATCTTTAGAGCCATTATTTCTAACTTATAGCTTTTTAGTTATTTTGAAAAACAGATATTAGTTAGGTAAAAGCAATCAGATTTATTGTAGTAACATCCATAACATCCTATATATTATTTCTAAAAACACCTTTGTCGGTACGGAATAACTTTGTCAATTCTTCATCAAATCCTATGATTGACCATTCATTTTGAAGATATTCTTCTACTTCACCTGCGAAAAATAGTCCCATCCCTCCGAAATTTGTGGAAAAGAAATTATGGAGAAAAAGAAACTTTATTTGCGAATAACTCAAAAAGTTATGCTTTTTTTTCTGGATTGTACTCATGATAATTAGAAAGATTACTAAATTACCTACAAAACAAAAATAAAAATCGGACAATTTTTAACAATGATGCAGTCCATTAGTTTTAGTATACTTTATAATGTCTTCCTGTTTAAAGATATTGCATTTAGGAGTAGAATAGTCTACTACATTTTTTTCCTGGCTGATATATTAACTTTATTATTTCTTAAAGACATTTGGTTGTTCTTACATTTTATTTTTTTTTAATAATTTAGAATATCCATGATCGGGGATTATTTTCCCTTTATTACTTTTATTATCTTTCCAGTCAGTGTTTAAAAATAGGTCCTAGCAAAGCAATTTGTACAAATATTTTGGTCTATTATGTTTAATGGAATATTGTAATCGACCACGGAAAAAATATAAACTCCTTCCTTACATAATACATACGAACTACTTATTTCCATATTGTTTTGCTATTTTTTCAGTAAACCAATTCAGTTACCAAAATGCAGAAAGACGATACTTCAAATGAAAATTTGTAAAACACTTGGCCTGAAAGCGAATATTTGATCACACGGGTAATTCACTTGTTTGTCTGTAGAGGGGAGGGGGCTCGAAAGGAGTGGATGTACCTCATTTTGAAGTAGTCTACAAAAGTTTCGTTTTTAACGTACTCAACTTCATATGGACATGGTTTGATTCACGAATAAATACTTTGTGTGGGCGGGGTGGCCGAATGGCCTAAAGCGTGTGCACTGCACCGCCGTTGCCTGGCAACCTAATCTATGATTCAAAGATATAAAAATAGACACGAGTTCGCGTCCCGGTGCCGGGGGAGTCTTTTAAATCCCGGCCTACACTTAATGGCGAAGAAGGGACACCAAAAAAAAAAAAAAAAAGGTTTGATTCACGAATACTTGTTAAGTTCTAGGTAACCTGTTTTTTGTTTCTGAGCTTCTTTCAATTTCGAAGATTCGTTGGTTTGAAAACTTTATTTACGAAAACTCTTGAAATTGGGGTGTTTTCAATCTGGAGGGGGGCCAATTTTGTCTATTTAATTAGGTACTAAAAACTCGTAAATACCCATTTGCATTATATTTGGATCGTAAGATAGTTGGATAAAAAAAATCGATAAAAAAGGTGGCCTACAAAAATATTGGCCTGTTTGCCCTGTATAACCTCGTTATTTTAAAAGTTTGGTGGTGTAGGTCATACAAAATAACGAGGTTATATAGGACAAACGGCTCAGTATTTTTGAAGGCCGCCTTTTTCTCGATTTTGTGATCAAATTATCTTATGATACAAGTAGAAAGCAAATGGGTATTTACGAAATGCCTAATCAAATAAACAATGTTTGCCCTCCTACAGATTGAAAAGAGCCCCAATTCCAAGAGTTTTCGTAAATAAAATAGTTTTAGGTTACGATGAGATGAAACCAGAGATGGGCAAAATCGTAATCAACGATTACATGATTGTCGATTAAAATAAAAAATTCAATGACACCCCAATTTTATACATGATTCAATAGCATATTAATATAGTAAAAGAAGATAACGATTACCTGATTACAATCGTAATCAGAAACCTGATTTTACGAATTATAATCGTGTAATTGCGTAATCGTAATCACGTAATCATATTCTCTGTAATCGTAATCACGTAATCAAAAATCACTGTAATCGTAATCACGTATCATAATCGCGTTATCGCTAATATAAAAAAATCAAATATTCACCGACTTTTCCTCTGTTTAGAGATAGGCCCCGAGAAATACATGTGTTCACATTTTCTATTTTCTTTTAGCTGTTGGAAGTTCGTTTAATGATAATACCGTCGGTTTAACCATTGCACAGTTTCCGAATTTTCATTCGCTTTACCTCTTTAATCCGCGAATGAAGGATCGTTTTTTACCGTACAACTGTTTTCCGGTATGTAAGGTGTATAAAATAGGGAAATATTGTAGAAAATTTTCAGAATTTTCTTTACGCTTTTCCTTTTTTATCGATGCATGAATTTTTTTCTCGGTTTTCTCCGTTCCATCAGTTTTCGTGATATATAGGAGGCCTATTGGAAAAAGGAGTGGTAACAATTTTCTGAATTTCATTTGGTTTTCCTCTTTTTATTCGATTGAAGAATCAGATTTTACCATTCAACGAGTGTTCCGGCTATGTCGAGGTAGACGAAAACAGAGAAAATAGTGTGAAAAAAATCTCAATTTTTTTCGCTTTACTATTTTATCTCGGAATGAAGGATGTTTTTTACTGTCTCACATTTTATAGATGCCTAGATGAAGCCAATGGAAATAGGAGTTTAAAAATTTTCCGAATTTCGGCTTTTTCTTGTTTATATCGGGATGAAGGGGCGATTTGTTAATGTTCCAATTATGTACAGCTGGCAGAAAAAACAGAGAGTGTGTGCAATTTTCCGAATTTTTCTTTTGCTTTTTCTATCTTTTAATTTGAAGAATAGATTTACGGATTACAGTTCGGATCAATTTCTCAGCTATGATACGTTAGCAAAAATGGATATGTTGTTAAAAATTCGAATTTTCATACTAGCTTTTCACTGTTAACTCGTAAAATGGGAGTATGGTTTCTCACCGTTCCACCTTTTTATTCACTGTGTAGAGGCTGGACTCGCCATGGGATACAGAAGTGGTACAATTTTTTTTCAAATTTTCATTCGCTTTTCCTGTATTATCTCGGGAATAGAGGATCAGTTTTTCACGTTTCAACAGTTTTCCGAAATATGAACATGAGAAGTTAAGCTGCGATATAATCGGTAAATTCCTCATCAATTCTCCTTTTTTCGCCTAGATCTTATGTTGGAAAACTATTTGAAACGGTGAAAAATCGAGCCATTCCGTTCAACGATATAAATAGAGAAATGCGAATATAAATGCGAAAATTTTCTACACCATTTCCCATTTTCGCCTAAATCTTTCTACATCACAAGCTGCGTCTACGCAGAGTCGTATGTATTACGAGCTGTGCCGTGTGAAAACCGAGCATCCATCCACGAGTTCTAAAAGAGAATGCGATGAAAAGCTCCAAAAGTTTTACACTATTTTCCCATTTGCGCCTAAAATCAACATAGTGGGTAACATTTAGACGGTGATAAACCGAGCGTCCATTCATGAAAATTAGAAAAATTTTAAATGTTAAACCGACGATAGTAGTGCTGCCGACAGCAAAAGAAAAATAGAAAAATGCTTGATACTCGTTTCCCTTTTATTCTAACCATAACAGAGGAAAAATCATGTTTATTTGATTTTTTATTACGATTACGCGATTAGATTACAGATTACGTTACTGTGAATCTATAATCAAAATCAAAAATATTTTTTTTATATCGTAATCGTAATCGTAATCATAATCGTTGATTATGATTATGCCCAACTATGGATGAAACTATTTACGAAGGCTATGGCGGATGTTAACAATTCGATAAAAAGGGTTCTGTACCACTGACTACAGCTCCTTGGAAGGTGAGAAAAAGGAACCAAACAACAGGCACTTTTATCACGTAAAAGTATTACTGATATTCAATATCGACAAAGTATACTCCATTGTTATCTACCGCCATTAGCCATCTGCTGGCCAATTGCTCGATCCCACGCTCGATATTCTTTGGGATGGCTGTCAAAGAACTCTTGCAGCGCAATTTCAACTTCCGCAAAATTTTTCCCTTGATTAAAATGGGTCATGGATCTAAATAAGTAGTTATCCGATGGTGCGAGGTCTGAACTATATCGTGGATGAGGAAGGATTCTCATATCAGAAGGGTTTTTCAATAAATTTTCACAAATTTCTAACCTCTTAGCTGATTGCTGAGGGAAAAATTCGTGAGGGATTAGTCTACTGCTCTTTTTTCGACTAACAGTGTCTTTCGACACAACACATTTCCTGGCAAGTTCGCAAGTACTTGTGGACGGATTTGACTCAACAGCTTCCTGCAGAACCTCATCAATATCCGTTAATGGCCCTTCTTCCTTTCCAACATCGTATCTCTACTGCTAAAATTTTCAAACCAGTGCAGTACGCTGTTAAGGACACTTTCCCATTCATATTTAATAATTTTCGAGTATTACGAGAATTTTGTAGGACATTGCCATGTTTCTTCTTTGAAACAAATAACTAAACTGAGGCTTTTTTTTTCTTTTCAGAATATTCCTGAACCCGCCACTGCCATTAAATACGAAAAGAAGATGAGAGCTGACATTGAGAAGAGACGACATAACAGATGTAGCAGGTATAGGCACGATGAGAAACATGCTGACTCAAGCGAAGGTGCATGCTAAAAAGTGGGGGAAGTCTATCGTTACATTATTATTTTCCTCTTTTATCTCAATTGGTTTAAAACCAAATAAATTATCATGTTATAATACTCTGACAATAGGTAATTATTGCAAAATAATGTGGTTGGTTGCCGGGCAACGCGTGCTTTGTACACACACGTTTGCCAGCTCGGCCTCACTGTCTCATAAAAGATAATTATATGTATCAACTTAACATATACTAAGAGTTTATAATTCATTCATATTAAAAAGACCTTTCTTTTTTTACATGCATCCTTTATCATATTTCTAGAGGCAAATTTAAAGCATAAGAGAATTGAGAGTTCATATCACTGCCTCCAACCTTTAAATATAAAAAGAAACATAAAAACGATATATATATATATATATATATATATATATATATATATATATATATATATATATATATATACATACATTGGCAAAAATTCATTTTTATATATTATGATATTTTTCATTGTGCTTGTTTGATCTTTTTCTATTATTGTAGCGGTTCATTTGCTCATTAGTCATAAATAAATTAATCGAAAATTAGTATTTGATTGCAAAATGTATTTATCGTATGGTTCAAGGAAACTCTATCCTCAGCAATCTAAATTGTTACAATAAATAAATATGTTTAGGTTAATTCATGAATCCAGTCATCATTAATAAAAATAACATGATGCTTAAAAAACAATATCTCATAAATAAATATAATAATTCACGTATATAACACTGTTAAAAATAATATAAACTTATTATTCAACCAAGAAAATGGGTTTGACATACATAAGATACATAAGTTAGAGCTTTCGGGCTGAAGCTCCCCCCCAAAATGGTAAAATTTAACCATGTCTTATATAAATATAAAAAATAAAAAAATATAAAAAACTATCTCTTAAAGTATTATTGTTCGTGTAATTACATTTAAACGGGCTTTAGGAATCACTTCACAAACATCATTTCATACAGGTAGTTAGTTTCTTTCTTTTTTTCTAAAGTAATTATCATTATTTTTATGAAAAAAATAAATTTCGGGCTGAAGCCCCCCCAAAATTAAATCCTGGATCCGCTAGTGCTGAGGGGGGCCAGAGTTTCCTCGAAAAATACAAATAAATTTTGTTATCGATATTTTTAATTTTTGAACTAATTTTTTTATTACCAATAGGCCAATGAACCACTATATATAATGAGATATGTATATAAAATCTCAATCCGGGTTGACTCCAGGATATAAATCAGAGAGGAAAGACATAACAGTACAGGAGAAGACATAAATTTTATTGTTGTATACAAACAAAATAAAATCCTGTGTTGTCGAAAGACAATGAAGGCAGAGGGCAATAAATAAATGTATATATAGTATAATATTGTTCGTTTTACAATAATTATGTTAATTATCACACATAATATAAATTACCTAGAATTTTTTTTTTTGGGGGGGGGGGAGAAGAGTCCATCTCACCTCCAACCAGAATGGAAAGTCTGCCTCCATGATCTCATGCCGCTCAGAAACTCTTCCTTTTTAGGAAGTCCAAGGAAGTGTGGAAAAGGTTGGTTGGTCTCTGATGTCGGCCACGAGGAGGGTTACGATATGACGCATGTGCAGTGGACTCCGACTCCAATGAATCACGTCTTTATGAAGCATAATGCACTGCACTATATCTATTATAAAGTATCTACAACTGAAAACAACACTATTTTTTATCTTACTCGTTCATAAAATAATCCCATATATTATTTCTAAAAGGTGTTTTTTGGTCGGTACGCCATAACTTCGTCAATTCCTCATCAGAGGAATAATATCGTCAATTTTGAAGATATTCTTCTCCTTCACATGAAAAAATAGTCCTATTCCCCGAAATGTCTGGAAAAAAAGTTATGGAGGAAAAGAAACTTTATTTGCGAATAACTCAAAAAGAATGCATTTTTTCTTTCTTGTACCCATGAAAATTAAAAAGATTACTAACTTATCTAAAAAAAAGAGTCGTAAAAATCGAATAATTATTAACAAATATACAGTCCATTAGTTTTGTTATACTTAATAATGTCTTCCTGTTTAAAGATATTACATTTAGGAATAGAATAGTCTACTACATTTTTTTCCTGGCTTTTATATTAACTTTATTACTTCTTAATATTATTATATTGCCGTTTATCTTTTTTTTTTTTTTTGTATATTATGAATGAGCTACTCTATATCACTATTACTACTGTCCTTGAATGTGACAGATTGTAATATCTCAATAAAGAAGTTTAATTACTTCTTAAAGACATTTTGTTGTTCTTAAATTTCATTTTTTTTTTTAAATAATTTAGAATATCCTATTATCGGGGCATTATTTTGTCTTTATTATCTTTCCAGTCAGAGTTTAAAAATAGTTCCCAGCAAAGTAATTTGTATAAATATTTTGGTCTATTATGTTTAATGGAATATTGTAATCGACTAATGAAAAAATATAAATTCCTTCCTTACATAATACATAGCAACTACTTATTTCCATATTGTTTTACTCCTTCTTTACTAAATAAAATTTACTGCGAATTTTTCGCACAGGCCAACTAGTTAATATTAGTTTCTTGAAGGTGTGCAAACAAATTAAATCTTCCTTCTGAGGTAAATTTTTTGTTATATATTTAATGTTTTAATGCTTCCTAAATATTACCATATATTTCATCCATAATTTTGTCTTTACTATTATTATTATTATTATTATTTGTCAGCACTATTTCCTACGGTATCATACAATACAAGTTTACTAGTCCGTGGTACAGACCCCTTTTTATCGAATTATTAACATCCACCTGAAACTGTTTTTAATATCGATATTAAAGTAGTAATGTCGTTCAGGAATGCCGCATCAAAACTGTAAGTTAACAATTTTTCGAGGTTGATGTTTACTTTGTCTAGGATACGCCCATCCTTATCAGTCTTCGTTTGATTCCGAACCCTCCTGTGAAGAGATAAGAACATCTATAGGTTAGGATTAATTAAGAACATTATTTTCTGAAGTGTCAGTTTAGAAAAGATTATATCCGTGTTATTATAACTCCTGGTGTCGAATTGTAACAATACGCAAGTGTTATCATCAAGGTCCTGATTTGTATGCAATTGCATAGTTTGTTTGTATGCGATTTTTAATTAAACTGATGATCAAATGTCTAAACGAATCAGTGTACCCAGATGCAGTTAGTCAAGTTTTATATTGAACCAGCTGATGTACCCGTCGTTGACTGAATATTGTGGCGGGTGGGGGATTTTTTTTTGGATTCTATTCAATGTACAGACAAAACCTTTATTTTATTTATATAGATGATCTTTAACCTATGAACATATGTTTATTATTAACATTTATTATCAACGTTAACCGAGATATCTAGACAAATTACACAAGAATTCATAACTTTGGTTCTATTCAATATTTTGTTTCCATTTAAAGCCTATGTTTTAAGTCAAGCAAACCTAAATATAATGTCAAAATTTCAAAATTATACCATTAGCCATTGCCGTGCTTACCACTGACAAAATTCCGTTGGATAATGCGGACATCCAGACAGACAAAGAAATGTTTAAAAGTGGATTTGGCGCCTGTAATGTATAAAACGGGAAGATATCTTGGAACGAGTTGATTCTATTCAATGTACAGACAAAACCTTTATTTTATTTATATAGATGGTCTTTAACCTATGAACATATGTTTATTATTAACATTTATTATCAACATCAACCGATATCTCTAGACAAATGATTCAAGAATTCATAATTTTGGTTCTACTCAATATTTTTTTTCCATTTAAAGCCTATGTTCTAAGTCAAGCAAGCCTTCATATAATGTCAAAATTTAAAAAGTCTACTATAAGCCATTGCTGAGCTTACCCATGACAAAATTCCGCTGGACAATGCGGACATCCAGACAGACAAAAAAATATTTAAAAGTGGATTTGGTGTCTGCAATGTATGAAACGGAAAAATATCATAAAACCGATTCTATTCAATGTACAGACAAAACCTTTATTTTACTTATTAGATATTAGATGACAAATGCATAAAATTGAATATTGTGGTTATGTAAAATAAAAATAATAATAATTAGAAATAATTAAATGGAATATATATATATTTTTTTTTTTTAAATGATATTTACAACTGTATACAAAAAAATACATCTAGTAAATTTGCACATTGGTATAAAGACATGGAACACATGTTGAGAAACTACCCATTGGTAGCACTCTAATAATATGTCTATATTAGAAGCTCACGTGGCCATCTTCTTTTCAGACGCCTCGGAGGGTTATCAGGAATCGAATAGGAAGCAAGGTTAGAAACGAGAGGGTTGGGATGATTCTGAAGTTTATTATGGAAGGATAGGTATCTGGATTGGGCCAGATCTGAAACATAAGGAACATTAAGATCTTTATGGATAATTTTATTAGTGACAAAGTAAGGAGCATTGAGGATTTTACGAAGGATTTTGGATTGCAAGGACTGTATGCGAGAGGAATTTGAAGGCTTGGTGGAGCCCCATAGCTCAACCCCGTAAGTCCAAATAGGCCTTATTGTAGTCATGTAAATGAGTCTTTTATAATTGATTGGAAGGTTAGAGCGTTTGTCTAGTAAGTGTTGAAGTAGTCGGAAACGTCGAGCTGTTTCTTGTCGTTTCAGTCTAGTATGATGATTCCAAGTTAGACGTTTGTCCAGATGGAGTCCTAGGTAACGGATTTGTTCAACAGGAATAAGTGAGGTGTTGTTAAAGGATACTGAAGGACAGGAAGTCATTGGTTTACGACGAAGAGTGATGGTAATTTGATGGGATTTATTGGAATTTATTTTAATTCTCCAGTTCTGACACCATTCTTCCAGGTTTGTGATGTGGAATTGAAGGGTTTGGGATGCAATAGATGGGTCGTTATTGACTGATAGGATACATGTGTCATCAGCATATGTGGTGATGACAGTGTTGGGATGGGTTGGGATGTCAGCTGTATAAACTGTGTAAAGGATAGGACCTAGGATACTACCTTGAGGAACACCTGCAGACTGGGAAAAACGGGATGTATAGACATTGTTGTGATTTACTTTAAAGTATCTATCAGTAAGGTAGGAACGGATAATGAGGAAGTAGGTA